GCGAGTGCTGGAGCACAATCTGCTGCTCGCTCCGTGAGGGCGCCCCCTCCGCCCGCCTTCTGCTTCCTCCGCCGCCGCCCGCCGTCGCTGCCGCCTCCTTCTCCACCATTGTATAATGCTCCGAGCGCGCAGGCGGAGGACAGTGGAGTCTTAGCCCCTGTCTCGCCTCCTGCCCGCTCCCCGGCGTCACCCTCGGGCCCCCGGAGCGGGGGAGTCCGCATGGAGCGGGTGTAGCTTGAGGAGTGGGCAGAAACCCCTCCTGATGCGTTAGTTCCCAGGTGGAGCTGCATGTGGTAAGTTCTCCCGGCGCCGGGCTGGAGGGAATCCTTCGGTTCGCGGGGCTCCCGGTGGGTGGAAGACGGCGTTGGGAGCCGGCCAGGGCCCGGAGGGCGACGGGAGGGTCTCGGGCGCCTCCACGAGAGGAACCTGGGGCCCGAGCAGGTACGCGGAGGGGCGCGTCCCCGCCCTGCGCCCTCGGACCCCCGGGCTCAGGGCCGGGAACCCGCCGCGTCCGCGGGCAGGTCTGTGGGGGGGAAGGGCCCGGGCGGCCGTCGCGGGCCGGGGTCAGGAGGGGGTCGGAGCTAACGCCAGCCGAGCAGTTGGGCGGAGGGAGCTTGGAGCTGTCGCCTTTTACAGCTGGGCTGTGTGTGAGTGTTGTGGCTGTTGTGTTGTGAACATGCGAGACTTTTTAAAGGCTTGGATTGTGGCGTGAAGGCTTCTTCGCTTTGTAAGTTCCGCGGTCGGGTCTGCAGTCAACTTACTATAAAGTGTTTCTGTGAGTTTCTCTTATGTTATTATTAATTAGAAGCATCCCTCTCCACCACCTATCCTCTTTTCGTCCATCGCTGTGTCTTGCCCTGCGCGCCCAAATGAATTGATTTTGAATATATGTGTATACTAACCTTGCGAGTCTCCACTGGTTTTTAAATTAGAATTCTACAAGTCATCTTCGTGGTGACTGCCTGTGACTAAAAGGGGGGGGGGGCCGAGGGGAGCCAGCTGTCCCAAGCCCTGGACTTTGTACCAGTGAGACAGGGGGTACCGTCAGGGAGCATAGAGAGGGTCATAAATTGTTCCTTTTTATTTGTTGTTTTTCAATTTTTTGGCCATGAAATAGTTATGTTGTACTAATAGATTGAAATGGAAGTAGAGCTCATAGTTCAAAGTTAAGATGAGGTACAGTGTGTCTTAGAATTATTTTTTTGCTTCCAAGTATCGTAGTTTCAGGATGTTTCAGTATGAAGAAAGTAGGTTTTTAACAAGCACTGAATTGGGGAAGAGCAATCAGCAAGGTAAGATATCCAGTGACAGACTGCAGCAGTGTTTCTTTGAATAGAATTGGGCAGCCCCCGTTGGTCTTAAGGACATAATGTTTTCAAGTTTTGCTCATGAAATATCTTTTTAATTTCCCAGTATATGTAAAGAAATGTCCCTAATGTGTGTAAAGAGCCGAACTGTTGTAGCCCACAGTGGAATCAACAAGCACCTAAGTGTTCAAATTAGCCTTTCATAGTTAGGGACTAGTTAGTTCCTGACCAGAGTGAAGTGGGCTGTTGGCTCCACTCAGCTACCAGAGGAGGGACCACCTGAGCGTCTATTTGGTTTGTTTGCTGTTCTGGGTAGTTGCTCGCTCAGCTAAAGGCGATCTCACTAACCCCCTCCCCCCTCTCCTCTTCTTCCCCCTTTTAATGGTGGTGCTCCACTCTGATTGGAGTGTGCTGGGTGTGCTGTGAGGATGAAAATACTCATCCTAAATTCCCAGTTTCTGGCACTAGAAAGAATAGCTTGTTCGTGGATCTTTGCGTCCCTGTTCATTTTCATTTTCTTCAAGTAAAAAAAAAAAATATTTAAGAAGTTTTCCTTTTACTTCAGTGATTTACTTAGGTATTTTATATGCTATTATAAAATTGCTTATGTTGTTCATCAAGTTTGTAAGCCTGTAAACTAATTTTTTAGTTTAGGAGCTCTGATAGCATAGTGCCTAAGGCACTTGACTGCTAACCAGAAGGCTGGCTGTTCAAACCCACCAGCCACTCCTCGGAAGATGGGGCAATTTACTTCTGTAGTAATACAGCCTCGGAAACCCAAGGAGGGGTTGCTATGAGTTGGGTCCGACTCGATGGCACATAACAACAAACTAATTTTTACTTCTTTCCCCTATCATTTATTAAAATATGTGTAACTGTGTTGCTTTCAGAGCAATTGAGAAATTGAGAAATGCTATGAAATGATTTGAGAACCGTTTTTTTTTTTTTAACTAAAAAAAAAAAAAAAAAAAAAAAAAAAACACCGCTCAGCTCTGTTCCTTGCTTTATTACAACAGGTATGAGAGAGGACTCACGTTTTGTAATGACAAGCAAGTGTACTGGCAGGAGGTGTCCTAGGGAACAGTTTTATTGTCAGGCAAGTGTCACAGCTTCTTAGGTAACAGCTGCTCAGGCTTGTTTCCCTTAAAGAACTGAGAGAAGGATAAAGACTTTTTAAAATTTGAGAAGCTGAAATATAAATTTTGCCAAGTTGCCACACACTGAATTATTAATAATGGTGTAACAAAATAACATATATTTTGATATTTTAAAATTTACCAGAATTTGTATGGAGACTGATAGCTATGAATTTGCTATTTTAGACAGAGCTCCAAAAGCAAAATAAAAGTTACAGCCACTACTTTAGAAAGGGGTGTGTACACACATACGTACACACTTAAGGCATGGGAAGGTTGAAGATGTCTTAGTGCAAATACGTGAAGTTACTTCTACTAAATAAAAGTAGCACACTACAAATTATTAGTATCAAATAATGCTACCAATTTATTCTCAGTCAAAATATCTTAAACTGCAGTAGCTAAGGAAGAGAAAGCTGCAAGCGATAAAAAACTTCTCAGAAGTTTCCTTTCTGTGATCTCTTATTAAAGAGCACTGGTAACATAACGTATGAAGCTTTATTTCATTTATATCAAGAAACAATACTATTTGTCAGTATTACATATAGATAAATAACAGGTATCAGGAGTATTTAATTCACTTGTAGAATTTTTAAAACTTTGTTGCTACAGAAATGTTGTTTGTTGTTATGGCATAGCCTGCTAGAGATAGCTCCAGTTGCAATAGTTTCTTGGCCAAAAAGAGAGAGAGAGCGCTGTCTCTGATAACTGAGTCCAAAGATCAGCAGCCCCTATGCCGAAGGCACCAGAGGGCAAGCTCCAGTTTAAGTGGAAATGGCCTCGCAGTAAAGGTGACATTCACATTCACCCTCACAGTAATTTATACTGACTAGCAGAACAAGGAAATCTAAAAATGTTGTGGCCACATTTGCGCAAATCACATATTTTCTACCTACTGCTGATAATTAATTTTTCCATAAAACAGTTGACAAATAGGTACAAGGTAAGGACTCCTATTTGAGAAGTATGTAGATACTTCATTTAATCTTAATTATTTCTGAAGGGAACAGCTACTGCCAAAGTTCGTGTGTCTTTTTTAAAAAAAATAGTGTCTCAAATGGATGGTGCAGTTGGTATAAAAGGGAAACTTCTGCCCTCAGTGCAGATGCTGGGAAACCCTTGTGAACAGCACTGTCCCCTGGAGCGTCCATCAGTCATTGTGTGGAGCAGTGTCTTTCTCCATTAGCACTGCGTGGCAGTTCATTCTTTGTATGAATCTGTGAATGGCATATGTCAAGCCAATAGAAGGCATTCCTATTCTGGGTAATAAATAGATGCTTTGTCGTGCCCCCCCCCCACGATCATGAGACAAACAAAAACATGCTTGGCCGTGTAAAAATTGTCTTTTTTAAATACAAATAAAAATTTCAAAATAAAAAACATCAGAATATATTTAAAAACCTAGGATTCTTAATGAAGTGATACAGATACTGATAATTTACACAAGTGTCACATCTAGACAATACATAAACTCTCTTTTGGGAATTTTGCTCTCTTTTATGAGTTGGAATCAGCCTGACGGCAGCGAGTTCAATTTGGTTGGTGGTTTTATGGTCTGAAGGTCCTAAAGCTGAGAAGGCCTGTTTGTCTTTTTTTGGAAAAACTTCGGTCAGTTGTCAGACACAAACTCCAAAATTTGATTTCTCTCTTTTAGAAACCCAGAATCGTCTAAGTTGTGTTTTGCACTCACTGCAGTTTGGCTCACATGGAGCTGGCCTCTGTCCTCTGGCCCAGCCCCCTCTCCTACTTGCCTGTTGCCTGTCCAGGGCTGGCTCTCCACTGGCAGGGATGGCAGGATGAGTGGTGAGCGCGCCTGGGCACAGGACTAGTGAGTGCAGGACTAGTGAGTGAGCTATGCGGATGCGTGGGGCGGGGGTGGGGGGAGGAGAAGGAGAGCATATCTGAAGCATTGAACAACTGCTACAGCAGGTCTGACTAGTTTTAGGTGCCCAAAGGCAGCTTTGTTTCTCTGTAACTCCAGGTAGCAGCAAGCTTAAGTCCTTTAAACTAATTCATGTCTGCATTACTATTTTTTTTCTGTCTCCGTGCAAAACCTATAGCTTTGCAAAGTTACTAATTCTAAGACACGCCCCCCCCCCCAAAAAAAAAAGCACTTCACAACTGGAAAGAGGCTAAACTGAGTATTTATGTTTCCAAGAAGTTTCACATAGACTTTGTGAAGAGGGAAGGGATTTTGGCTCTTATATAAGGGCATAATATCTATATAGTCATTTTCAGGGTGGCCTGTATGAACTTGTTAGGCAAAAGTAAAGTGTACTACTTGAATATGCTATAGTCAAAGAATTAAATAATGAAATGTCACTTGCTGCAGATCAATCTTTAGCCCCTTGCTTTCCTCCTGGCTGGCTGCTTATCATTCCTCCCCAGGCAGCCAGGCTGCAGCCTTGCAGCAGGCTGCTGGAGTACCCCACCCTGTGTTGAAAAGTCTTGCTGGTCCCAAGGACATCTCTACCCCAGAACAAGTTTGCATAAAATTCTAGCTCCACTAAGGAGATAACGAGGTGGCAACTGTTTTCAACTGATCCTCCCTTGAGTGGTTATCCCATTTTATAACACATGATACAGATTTGCTTTTCAGATTTCTTTACTTTTTTGAGGAGCGCAGTGTGTGTGTGTGTACTTCTGTGTCTCCCTATGCTGTCATAGAAAACTGATCCAGTACAGGAATTTGAGCACTGTGGTCTGCAGCTAAAAAGAAATTGTGCTGCCTCTCTGTGATTAACCTGTGATGGTCTTCTCTAGACAGTTGTTAAAATAAACTGGTTAAAATATATATATATTATTATTATTATTATTATTACTATTATTACTATTATTTACCATGTCCAA